GGATTAGGAAAGTTGTTATCAATCATTATCATAATCAAATAAATTCAATTCAAACTGTTTTTGGACACCTATTACATCATTCCATTAAGAATATTTTAATACAGTTCTACAAACAACAGGTTTCAAGTCTTAATGGACATATGTGGTGCGACTATACGGTGTGAATATATGGAACATATATTTTAGGGTTAGGTTGGTGTTGTTATTGGGTTATCTCTATTGTAGTATGAGATATTATAGTTTTAAATTCAAAAAAAAATTTTTTTTAGCGTATTATGTAATCATATTCACTTTTTTTTTTTTTTTTTTCTCATGTATTATTTGCATTTTTTTTTTTTAGCCGATGCGAAAATTTTTTTCGTTAACAGTAAATCAACACATATTTATACGTGATTAGCGAAGATGTCAAATCCCAAAGATTCGGTAACCAAAAATAATTCACATGATTATTCACTTATTATGTACGTCAATGTGATGTACAAAAAATTGAAAAGTTGGGTTGGTTAGGAAGAAAAAAAAAAAAATAATAAATTTCTACTAAATATGCAACACGTACGTAAAAAAAAAAAAATTGTGACACATGGTTTAAATTCAAATTGACGTTACAAAGTTGAAGGTTACAGCCATTACAATAAAGGTATAACCTGTTTTTCTACGAATTGGAATATTTGTTCATTGAATATCATTGTGATGATATCATAAAATTTCAAACATCTAATCTTCAAAAATATGATAATGCATTTATCTTCAGAAAAGGACAAAATCATGTGAAAACGTAAACTTTTTTTCTTCAAACATTATTTCGAATGAATGATGCCAAATTTGACAGATTCTAAACTATGAAGATTTTTGCTCATTTACGGATGCACGCGATGGCAAATTTTTGCAGTTGACGAATTGAGAGGTTCTTTCACAAGGCGCACACATTAATGACATGCCAGCAATTACCTTGATTTTTTTTTTTTTTGCGCGTGGATGACGGCGGGAAACTTCTAATTATCGTGTCACCTTTAGAATATTATTTTTAGCTTGATGTTATCTCTACTAATTTTTACATGATTGATGTTGAGAGATACATATTTATAAATGCATATCGAAATAATCATCGACACCTTGCATATTATGGACAATGAAAGAGGATCTAGTGTTAATGAGGGAAAGGTGGGATCTAGATCCTTGCTTTACACAAAAAAAAAAATTCGACCGTTAAATTCTTTTTTTTTTTTTTTTTTTTTTAAAAAAAAATTTTACAATACAATCAATACTTTAAAGACTGCCATGTGTAGTTGTCAAAAAAACAAAAAAAACAAAATAAATTAACGAGAAAAAACAAACACAAATAAATAAAATTCACAAATAATTATGTAAAACAATGATAACGCGTTTTGAGATGTTTCCGTTTTTTTTTTTTTTTTTTTCCTTTTACCTTTTTTTTTTTTTTTTCCTTTTTACCTTTTTTTTTTTTTTTTTTTTTACAAAAAAAAAAAATTCAAGAGTGATTGTTGCTAAAGAATTAACTGTAAAATTTTTTTTTTTGGTACCTACGGGATTGATTCCGAGTGGCCTGATTGAAAATAAAACTCAAACAGGATTAAGTTTTTGAGATGCCGAAATTCCTTGTGATTCATGCTTTAACAAATACTGTCAAATAAAACTTTATTTCAAATACCAATCAGGATCAATGAGTTAATTTAAAATACGGAATGCGATAAATTCAAAAGGTATTAATTTACATATTCGGATAAATCCAATTGTTCATGTTGGAAACAAGAGACCTACAATCCCTTCATACAAATTATGTTACAATTTGTGATTAAATTAGGAGAAAAAAATTACAATAAGTTGATAAACAAAACTGCACAAATTCTTCGTACATTATGATTACCTACATTCTTTACATAATCCTCAAATGTTACACTATTCATGAACGACTTGTGAAGATTCTTAATATGATTTAGATCTTTTTTACTTTGTAAAGAACGAATATGTTATGTCGCACAGTCCTGTAATGTGATGTTTGGGAATAAGTCATTTTGATACAAATTGTGAGCTTGTTCCGATTGAAAACCTCTTTTTTCTCTGAGAATTCAAGCTTATCCACACGTTTGTGGAAATGTTTTCTCGATTCGAATCTGACCGATGTGGGTTTCTTCGCAAAACGGTTTCCCTTCGTTTCGTTTAGGCAACCGATTATGCGAGAGCTCGGCATTATTTGATTCCTATCTTGTAAGATGAAACCTTTATCGCTCTCTTTTTTTTGGGAATTTTTTTTTTTTTTTTTGGAGAAACTTTTTTAATTTTATTCTTCTTATTATTATTATTTATTTGCTCAAAACATTTCATTTGCTTTTGCTGTGATTTTGCAAAATTCTAGTTCGCCTTCCCCCACCTTGATGTCCATTGAAGATTTTGCAGGTCAAAATCTCCTAATCGATCTGATTTTCTGTTTATGTTTCTCAATTGTAGGTTTGTAAACTGTTTTATTCCCTCGCGAATTTCATGAAAAAGAGTCTCACCTGTCAAGGAAAGAAATCACTGATTTTTCTTTCCCTTCAATAGGATGTCATTTCAAGTTCTCGGAAGCCCACATCCAACCACGCTCTTTAAAACTTACTCTTACTTTTCGTCATCAAACTTTGTTTTTTTCTTATCTTATCTATTTCGTTTGTCTATTCGCGATATTCGATAGGGGTAAAATAAAAAAAAAGAATTTTTTTTGATTCAAAAAAAAAAAAAAAAAAATTATGAATTCTAAGCTGAAAAAAAAAACGCGGGATAATCTTTCTAAAATTAGAAATGGTTTCGATTTTCGCAAAAACATATTTTAATTACATTTCTCTCGATTTCTCGTCTCTATTCGTACCTGGCCTTTTTTTTTTTAACCTATTTTTTTTTTTATCTTTTTCTTTTTATTAAAATTAACGTAAATTAAAAAAAATATTTTCTCGTTATTCTTTTAAAATTTGTTGAAAAAAAGATTTTATTTCTTTCTCGATTCGTTTATTCTCTCCCCGTAAATATTATTCTTTTGCTTTTGTACTTATTTTTATACCTTTTTTTTCATATATAATCATTATTATTTTATTATTATTTTTTTTTTATTTCGGTAACAGTAATTTACTCTGAATTTTTTTTTCGTTAATTCGTTCCGTTCATACCGTTTCCAAAAAAAAAAAAAAAAAAAAAATTATGCTCTTTTAAGAATATAATCCTTAATGAATTTGTCAAAAATTCTCTTACCCCCTTTTTTTTTAGTAAACCGAAAAATCCAAAAATCCATTATATTTTCGCGTTTTCAAAAAAAAAAACAAGATTTTCAAAATAAATATTAATTTCAAATTTTCCTTATCTTGCCGCAGCAACGATATCTCTTTTTAACATGAGATTGAACCTCAATTGTTATTAGTTGAATTGCCAGATTTGGTTTAAAAGCATTGTCTAGACTTTCAGGAATTTCATAAGCCCATTTATCATTCTAGCTCGGTTTAGGGTAATTGAATCGACTTGTAAATTAAAAAAGAAAAGGGCGTTTGTTTTAACGAGAAAAAAAAATGTGATAATTTTTTTTAATTTTTAATTATACTAATAAAGTTATTATCTATTCGTTATAGATACGCGAATTTAGACTAGGGCTTGACCTTTTTTTTTTTTTCTTTCCCTTAAAAACAAAAAAAAAAATTGGTTTGATTAAACTTTTTTTTGGTTACCGTCATGGTGAGGATGAGGTGTTTAGGTCTTTATCGATCTAATGAACATGAGAGATAACAATAAATTTTGACGTAGATAATCACAATTTTTTTAAAAAAGGAAAAGAAATAGAGAACTGAAATCGGTCGTGCATCTTTTAGCATCGGTTTGTCGGAACCAATAATAATGACAATGCCAATTTTTTTTTTTTTTAAAAAAAAAAAAAATTTACCAAGCTTTGATGATCATTTATGGGAAAAATTTCAAGTTATTTTATCCAAAATAAGTATTTCGGAGGTTGGCACACCACGCAGATGACGCAAATTATGTGGATGTCCAAGGGCCTTCTACCAAATAACCAAAGATGCAAGTTCGTAAAAAGACTAACACTAAAATTGACAACAAACAATCTTTTCGCCCCCATTTTTTTCAAAAACGGACAAGATTTCTATATACAACAAAAATGACACTAAAGTTATTTGTTGTATAAAAACGTTTTTTTTTTATATACCGATTATGTGATTGTCGTTTTTTTTGCCACACGTTTTCATTTCTTTCCAATTTTTTTCCTTTTTGAAAAAAAAATAAAATTAAAAAATCAAAACAAATCAAAAATGATTAACTCCTACCTTTACCAGGATAAGGTCAAGTAAACAACAATCATACAAAAAAATTAAATGATAATATTATTTAATATAATATGCATATGTAAAGTAAAAGATAAGGTGAAAAAAAGAAATTTCTTTGTTTATCTTTACATTATCAATCATACGTTTGAAAAATGAATGGATTTTAGCCTAACGGGACGTTACGAATAATTATTTGTGCCTTTACCCCTGCATGAAAAGGTTTCAATCTTGTTTACCAATTTTATTTCGAGAATTATTTTTAGGTTCAAACTATCCCTTATTGGTCATTATCGTTAAAGTGCGTGCAATATGTGTACCAAACATTGATCAAAAATATTAATTAAATAGTTTCCATACCGTTTATGGTCATGTATTAAATAATAAATATTGAAACAAAAAAAATTATAAATATTTGAGAATGCCTTCCAAATTCCTCTTTTTTTTTTCGTTTTTTTTTTTGAAAGTCCGTTAATCGTCGTCTGGCACGTCTAACCTTTGTTTCTTTTCTCACATTCCTTTTTCATTTCATAATATCATCATCAATACCAAATATCTTCATCCCACCTTCATCCATTCAATTTACCTAGAAGATTTTTTTTTCTTTTTTTTTCTTGAAAAAAAAAAGGAAGAATTTTTAAAAGCATAACTCCTCACTCTCACTTTCCCGTAAACAATCAAGAAAAAATGACTCAACCTAAAATTGCACGAAAGAGCATATTAGTTTTGGTCGTTCTCTTCATTGTTATATTGGTGGCTTCCTCAAATACCGCATCACCCGTTGAAAATCAATTTGAAAGTAGTCTCATTTACAAACGTCAAAATAATGGTGAACAGAAATCCCCTGAACCAAAGCTACCGTTAAAAGAGCCGGAAACAAAGGAACCTGCCAAAGTCAATGAAGATGCAAAAGATCCGAAACAACCATCAGGTAATCCAAAAATCCCAAATGATTCTACTAAAACCCCACTAAAAGACATTGATGTCAAAATTCCAAAAGAACAAACTGAAAATGATCCTATTCCTAAAGGGCCCGAAAATGTTGATAATCCAATAAATGATAATAAAAAACCTGAAAATGATAATAAAAAACCAGAAAACGATGATAATAAGAAACCCGAAAATCCAAAAAATGTTAAAACTCCTAAAAATCCAAAGAATGTTGATAACCCTCCTAAAAATCCTCAAGATCCTAAAAATCCTGAAAATCCTAAAAATGTTGACACTAAAATTCCACCTTCTCCTACTGAAAATGAACTTCCAAAACTTCCAGAAAATAATCCTAAAGCACCAAAAGGTCCCAAAACCAAAAATCCATTAGATCCCGAAATTCCTAACGATCAAAATCCAAAGGAAAATCCAAAGTCAAATAACCCAATTGATTCTAATCCTATTACAGAAAATCCTCCTAATGAGAACCCTGCTAAGGATCCTAAAGAACCTGCCAAGGATCCACTTAAGGAACCCGTTAATGATCCCGCCAAGGATCCTGCCAAAGTCAAAGAACCTGCCAAGGATCCTGCTAAAGAACCCGTTAAGGAACCTGCCAAGGAACCGCTTAAGGAACCTGTCACGGATCCCGCCAAGAACCCTGTTAAAGAGCCCGCTAAGGTTCCTGCCAAGAATCCTATCATCGATCCAAAAGCTCCCAAAGAGCCTATCACAAAAAACCCAATTCAAGAACCTGCAAAAGAACCTGCAAAAGCACCTACCAAACCTGTAGAAGAGCCACCAAAGGACAAAGAGTAGGTTGAACATTCCGCGATAATTTTTTTTTTAAAAAATAAAATTTTAAAAATATTAAATTTGATTATCTTCAAATTCTTTAAAGTACACCCGAAGTTTATACTACAATTACTGAGATGCCAGCTGCTACTCCTCCACCAAATTCACCAAAAAATCCACAATTAAACAATGAAAAGCCAAAACAAATGAAAACTTTTACAACTTTTGTCTCTTCCACTTCGGTCATACCAGCTACTAAGACTAGAATAACCACTACAAATGCTGATGGCGAAGAAACTGTCATGGAATCTACCATTCCTCCAAGAACCGTGGTTGTGGTGAAAGCTATTGTCACAGCTACGCCTGTCTCAGCTGAACTTATGGAGGAGTCTAGCGGAACGATTTTGGATATTAATAAAGGATTAAGTTTTATTTTTGGTAGTATTAGTTCATTATTCATGTTAATAGCATAGAATGTACAGTTCATTAATAAAGCTTGTACATCTTGATATGAAATTTGATTTTAATAATAAATTCCATTTGAACAAGCTGAATTTCATGGGATATTTCGTTAATTGCAAAGAATAAAAAAAAAAAAAAAAAAAAAAAAAAAAAAAAAATATTATATATATATATAAATATCAAATTCTTCATTGTAAATAATTTAATTGATTTATTCTGAAATCGGACTAATATAGAATGATTTATTCCGTTAGGACAAATTATTATTATTCTAAAAAAGTAAAATATTTGTACCGGATGTCTCTAATTTCATAATACAAATTTTAAACTAAAATGTTTGCAATCAATATAAAGATTTATCTAAAATATTCGGAAAACTACGTTCAAACATCTCTCACTAACGGAATCCTCGTTCTTAAACCTTTAGAACATTCAATTAAATTGTGATCAGTCCAAGCAATTCTATTAGGTTAATCATCCACCAGGCAACACCTGTGCGTATAGTATGCGTTTAGTTCACCATTTGATTTCATCTAGCATATATCTTTTGCAACCCACATGGTAACTTAATGTTATTAAAATTAATTGTCATTTTCAATATATATGAAAACCAGACATTCTTATTCATTAATAAATGAATCCGCAGGTTGGGTCCTCTTTGCCGAGGCCAATGAAGTTAGCTTTGCTAAAACTTAGCTAATTTGACTTGTTCTCGATAACTAGCATTTTTACCTTTTAAAAAAGAAAACTATATACTGTTGTCACAGATCACGCAATAAATCATTTAATTGTATTCTTTCATAAATGCGTGGGGCCATAGATAAAATTTTAAAATTATGTGTGCGCATTTATAAAGTATAGATTGTATAGTGTGTATGTATTTATAGAGAGTGAATTATAGAGAATTGACTGTATATAACTAAGGCCGGGCAAAGTAAACTTTTAGAATCTCGTGATCCGGCCGTGTCAGTTTTACGAAAATTCAGGATTTTTTTTTATAGTAAAATTTTTTATCACGAGACCTTACATAATAAACTTTTATTATAATAAATTCTAAAAATGTGAATTTGTTACATATTATTTTCGTGACCTTTTGCTACTTGAAATTTAACATCCTTACCACGCTTCTTCTTATTTAAAACTGTTGTATGACATTCATTGCAATAATAGTAATATACTTCATTCACACTATCTTTAGTAGATTCATCACATTCATCTTCCGGTACTTTTCACATTGAAAGCAAATATCTTCAAATAAACCGCTTGAATAATAAGAAACTTCTATAGGATTGCTACCTGTTAATTTATCATCAATTTTTACATTTCCAAAAATTCTCCCTATATCATCACTTTTGCTATTCTCATCATTAACATCTTCCATTTCTGTGCTTAAGTTTGCCAAAGTTTCAAAAGAATCACCACATATATATTGAATAGTGTCTAAATACCTTTTCAAAGTAGCTATTTCAATTGAAGATAACTTATTTTTACTATATAATACTCGCCATTTGTTGCATTCATAACATTTAATTATTATTTCTTACAAATTGAGCAGTATGATCAAATTCTATATGAGTTCTTTTTCTTTTTTTGTTGCTGATTTACTAAAGATGGTCTATATTTCTCTGTTGTAATTATATCTAAAAATTCTTTATAACTGATTTTATTAGCTGTTAGAATTGGATCAGATAATGAATGAACCTGAGAAAAATCAAGTTCTTAGTTTGTAAAATATTACAATCTGTTACATCACATTTTTTTATTTGAAAAAAAATAATGTCATGACTCATAGCATTAATTGTAAAATTCTTATAATTTAGCCTAAATAGATAAAATTTAATTTAATTAAATTGCTTTAGATAATAAATAAATATTAAAATTTACTTACTTTATTTTTAATATCTTTTTTTGTTTTATCACCCATATTTAATGAATCTTCAATTTCTAATAAAGATTTACATAAATTTTTAATTTTTTTCTATTGCTGATTTATAAGTTAAAAATAATTCATCTTTAATGTTAATTATTTAAATATTTCTTCCATTAAATTAATCAGTATTTATAAATTATTTATTAGTTCATTTTTCAATTGTAATTTATTTTTTAAGCATGTATGAATTTTTTTCATAATATTACACTTATTTATTAGATTTTCTAGATTATCACTCATTTTACTATATATTAAACCAATATTTTATATTATTAAGATTTAATATTGATATTATATGTTCAACTGGATTTTTTCAAAATAACCTGTGAAATTCTAATAATAA